AAAATTTACTACTCAATAGATAGTTGCATTTAGCCAATGTTTTGTATTTGTTGTCATTTGTCACCGGAGTTCATGTACACACCTTCAAGGTATCATATTTTCCAAATTATTTTTATAAGGAAAAATACTAGATTGATCAGCTGTCAAGCGTGTTAACGGATTAACAGGTATACGAAAACATAGTAGGATATAATCAAATCTGAATAGTATGCCATATCATAGGAGTTACACTAAAGATGCTTACTAGTATTTCATTGAAGGCTGTGTCTGTCACTAACAAACAGCCCTGTTTGTTTATTTACTGAACAATAAATTATCAAATGTTGGTTTGCAGGTATTCGAGTGGTTACAAGATTGATCACGAGCTGACACCAGTCAGAAAACAACTGGAAACCCTGGGAGTACTGGATAGCCATTTCGTCCTAGTTTTGGACTCTTCAACAGTACGCATCCACCGGGGTTCGAACCCAGAACATCCAGGTTAAGAGGCGAGCTCGTAGACCATTAAGCCACTGGGATCCGACCCAATGGTCCATAAATTCCAACTTCTCTCAATTCGATATATATATTTGGTGCAACCACCAGACAACGTCACGGGCGAGTAACTGTCCTCTGGGCTGGACCCCGCAGGTACTTCCTGTACGATTGTCCAGTACTCCCAGGTTTTCCAATGGTTCTCTAATTGATGTCAACTCGTGATCAATCCTTTTAAACAAGAAATGATTTTATTAACCCATTTATAAAAAAATCATGAAGACACTTAGGACCTTTAAAATAATTATAACAGTTCTTATCGTTAACAAATACATCAGTAGGAGTTATTTTACAACTTTTATCCTAACTTACTTTTTCTAATGTCACACAACAATGAAGAGTGAGTGATCGGGAGAATCTAGATGTTCCTTTTGATTGCATAATAAATAATCGTATCCGTAGTGCCTTTGTTGTCTACCAACCAAAAAAAACACTGTACTGTACATAATTAGTTCTGTTCTATCATTCCAGTCAGTTATTTAGTAGCCGAATTAGATTTAATGCCTGGGATGTAGTGGGGACGCGATCGTAGTTGTTTGTTAACTCTCTTATATCGAAAAAGAGTAGTTAATGCGTACTTTGTCCGTGTGTTATTCACTGGGTATATTGATGATTACGGAAAGTCACGATTCAACAGCAAATCAGGTTTTCGAATTTCTATTGATTATAAACGATGTAGTTATTGTTATGGAGTTGGTCAGTTAGTTTGTTGGCTGAAGGGGAAAAAAACTACTCCTACAGGAGGTCAGTGATGAGCCTAAATAGCTCAGTGATAAGGTCTCTGACTGTAGAACTAGGTGACTTGGGTTCGAATCTCTGAAGCCATATGAGCAAATACAAAGCACGAAACCTAGGTCGAAGGCGACCTGCCGATCGCCTCTAACTATCTAAAAACACGACCGCCAAGTGTAAGATGTTGTCTAAAACTATTAGGAAAATGGTATCTCTACATAGAAAAATTATGTATACCTTATCTTCAACGCACCATTTACACGGATCTTCGCATTGCGGTACTTCTGGACTTCATGTTGTGTTTCTTTGTGTTCTTTTCACGTCTCCTATGTATCTCCACAACGCTGTATTATTTGCCTTCTCTGAAATAAAATGTATCTCCCTGCTATTTGATGTTTTTATGCCAATGAACGTCTCTTTATATACTACTGATAAATCTTATCAGTAGCCACTCGCCACATTTTGTCATGAATAAAAATGAAAACATGAATTGTACACATTTAAACAAAAATAAAATCTAGAGTCAATAGACACTCAGTAATGATTATGAAGGAATGTTAGTATGTTTTTTTTCTATTTCTTAGACTCTCACAGTTGCTTTAACACTTTATACTGCTATGATTAAACCCATACAGGTCTTCGCACTTATTTTGTTTTACTTTTATGTTTTCTTTATGAGATTTTCAGTCAAAATAAAATACATCTGTTACAAATTTGAAAGTCTGAATCTCCAATCACATTTAATTCTTGCTATTCATCGTTCAGAAAACTTGGTATTATGAGTGGAAAAAAACAAACAGGTGGAGACATTAAAAGCCAAAGGATTCAATAACGTCTTGAATTAAGTGTGACATGAATAGGATTCACAGTAATAATAGCCTGTTAGCACATTTGTAAGAGAAAAATAGGCTGGTGTTTATACACGTCTTCTAATTTAAGAAGAAGTTAGTGAATTTAAGTAGTAGTCGATTTTAAGCGAAAGAAATTCCATCTAGATAAAATGATTACTTAATTAAAAACTAGTAATCATTTATTCAACTGAAAATTTTGAAACCTTTTCTTCACACAGTGACGACAATGTGATATCTTGAGTTGAGAAATTCCGCTCCATCTGCTTCAACCTTGACGATTGAATAGTATTATTAGCCCTTACTCAGTAAATATTACTCATAGCCTGCTACATGTGGAGCTGTAGCTCATTGGTCTAGGCCCTCGACTTCCAACTACACGGGCCACGGTCTTGAATCCCGCTCCACCTATCAAGGTCTGGACAGTCAGGTAGTTTCACCAGGTGTCACACCATTGAGTGTGGCTCATTACCGCCAACTACATGGAATCGCAACTAGTTGTTGGGTTTCAGCGCTATAGCCTGGTATATGGAAGGCCTATTCCAGGCAATTGCGTTTGTCAACTAACAAACTACCAGATACATTATTATTATTATTATTATTATTATAGCTTGACTCCACACATTATTTTTGATACAAATATGGAATTTTCAGCATGTGATATCGGTAGCCTAAATTTATCAGGCCGACCATGGATATCAGGTGTGCGTCGGCCGAGGATCGAACCCCGGACCATGTGCATGGTCGGCGAGCGTCCTAACCGCTGTGCCACCAACGCACATGTTAAAATTTAACCGCTTTGTTTTCGACTAATTGCCATAATCGATTTCAAACTACTGTTTCTGCTGAAAGTAGTAACACAATGTTTATTGCATAACAGTACACTGGTATAGGTTTCATCTGTTTTTCAGTAAATAGAATAAACCAGCTTATAGGCACTAAAAACTGTATACTTTATTCAATAGAAGAGGGTGGCACATTGGTTTAAGCACTCGACTTACAGCTAATGGGTCCTGGGTTCGAGTAGCGACTAGGAAGTATCACCAGATCTTACACAATAAGTGTGGCTCATAATCCGGTACCTGGGAAATATGTTCTAGACAACCAATTTCACGTTAATTAATAATGCTAAAGTCTTTCAGAATTCTTGTAATTTCTTAAAAGTCAGTTCAGTTTGATTGTTCTACTCATCCTGAATTACAACTGCCATGGATTAAGAACAGACAGAAATAACTTGTATTAGTTTTACTTGTTCCCTAAAGATAATTGTTCTCTTTAGTTGCATGTAATAAAATTGTGAAAAAGAATCTGTTAATATTTGCTAATGTGGATTATATGGAATTGATTGATATCAAACTTGTTTTTATCACACATCAGTATCAATACATAGACAAATGGACTTCCGTTTTACTGGAATTACTTCTGGTTTCCAAAGGAAATAGTGCTGAAATTTCACCTCCTCGAACTGTGTAAATTTCACAGTGTAAGTCTGATCCAAGTAGGTAGGTAGCCAGGATTCGGGTGGTGTGAATTGATGCGGCTCTCTGACCTGAGTAAAACCGGTCACATTGCTGATGAGCTCAACTTCAAAAGAGTGAAACAGCTGTCCAATGTCTCTGTCTGGCTAGTTAACCACTACTGGTTGGTGTCAGTGATGTCCGACTACTCATATCAGTAGTATATAGCATTGTGCGTTTTGTTCTAGTTTGAGTTGTGGGATTTCAACATAGTGATTGATGGATTATGTACTTATGTGTTTTGATCTGGATTCGTGGGTGCATATCACTGAAGAGTTTGGAGATAGTATAATAAAACCTTCAAATGTATTTTCGTTTTCAATGGTTGTCTAGCCAGAGGTCAACATTTGATGATCTCTGCTTCATATATCCCCGCGTTCATGATATGCTGTTCCTTTATATTGGGTGATTATCTCTTGACTGCCTAGTTGTTGGCTTAGTTGCGTCGGTGGCACAGCGGTTAGGACTCTCGCCGACTATGCACATGGTCTGGGGTTCGATCCCCTGCCGGCGCACACCTGATATCAATGGTCGGCCTGCAAAATTTGGGCTACCGATATCACATGCTGAAAATTCCATACTTGTACCAAAAATACTGTGTGGTTTCAAGCTATAATCAAAATAAAAAAAACTTTTAAACTTGAGATTATTTAGTCAACGTAGTCTGTCTCAAGTAGTCATATGAATTCACCAGTAGGTCTTGAATCAATGTCATCAGATCATTGCTGTTAAGCGTAATGCCATTGAAGCATCATGCTGCTACAAATTCAGTAAACTTTGTCTTATCCTTACATTTTCACTCAGGGATCAATAACGTATGCTATTAAACTTGTCTATGTCCAATTATCACTGTTGGTTGCATTCTATTATTGAAGTTTGATTGCCAAATTAATCTTACTACAATTAACAGGTGAATACACATCCTGAATTAAACCGTCAACTTGTACAATTATGGCGATGAGAACCGGAAGTTGAAATCTCTTTACAACAATATCAATTTAAAGACAACTATGATTCGATGTCTGTTATTTATTATCTGTTCTACATAAAGCTAAGTTGTGGATTTCATACCTTAGCATTCCGATTGGAGCATAGGGCTTCAAGCTATTGAAGTTTCAGTAATAGTGGTGGTGTGGCTTTTACGGGATGGGGTTGCCAGCCTTCCTTTTTTTTTCCTTACCGTCTAGTAAACTGGATTGAGATTTAAGAGTACGTCGGCGGCGAATAGAATCCAGACCTCCCGTACAGCTGACTGGTGGGCATTCTACGATTAAAGTTATTGAATACTAAAGAGTTAACTTATTTATTTATTTATTCATTTATGGATTTCTCTAATATTTTTCTAATGAATTTTATGTATCTATTGTAGACTATGGAGGTTGGAATTAAAGATGTTGGTGTAGAACATATAGTACTGGATAATATTCAATTTCTTTTGGGAGCTGGTGACGGTAATTTCATTGAGCGATTTCAACGTCAAGATAATTTTGTACAAAAATTACGATCTTTTGCTACGGATAATAACGCCCACATTACAATTGTAGCTCATCCTAGAAAGGTATGACGTTTGTTTTGTTTGTTTTGTTTGTTTTTGTTAAAGAAAATATACATTTAATTGGTGGATGGTGACTAGCAGTGGAATCCAGGATGCGCATTTCGTCCTATTTGGGACTCGTCATCTGGATGTACCTGCATTCCCCAGTGAGTGATGATGTTCCCACTGAGGGTCGAACCCAGTGCCCATAGTTTCAAACTCCAAAGCTCTAAATAATCAATATGACCCGTTGCACAAGAGGTGGCTCTCGTGGCCCAAGTGGTCTAGTGGATAACGCTTTGGCGTTTGAAACTATGGGCACTGGGTTTGAGCCTCGGTGGGAACATCATCACTCACTGACTGGGGAATGCAGGTACATCCAGCTGACGAGTCCCAAATAGGACGAAATGCGAGTTGTCCTGGATTCCACTGCTAGTCACTATCCACCAATTCACTTCAAATTACATGCCCAGACATCGTCGAAGCATCTGCACAAGAAGCCGACATGTCAACCTGAGACCGAGCACTTCGGTCCAATCAATCGACGGGAAAATCTAAAATTCAATTAAAGAAAATATACATTCATCAAACTTTCTTTTTTTCTTCTTCTTCTTTTCTTAACAGGAAGAAGTTAATCGTCTGCTTACAATAAACAGCTTATACGGTGGTGGTAAACTTTCCCAAGAAGCTGATAATGTAATGTTTATTCAATCAGAAACAACTACATCTATACCGAAGAAGTACTTACAAGTTAGTTTGTACATTTTTTTTCACTCTCCATTTGTTTGAATGATTTATAATTTGCATCAACTATATGATTGATAATTGAGCAAAGAATATCCTTTTCGATAATTTCCTCTTCTGGCTCTACAATTATATATATGTTTATATACATAGAATATTCTAGAATAGTAGTCAATAACAATATTAGTGTTTTTTTAAATAATATCGATTTGTAAATTAAGATCAACGGAATTACAGTTCATTAAAGATGCTTAAATTATAATAATAAAGATATAGTAGCAAATAGAATATCAACTAAAATTAGGAAAATTCCACAAAAATTTAGGATCATTCAAACCTATATGGCCAAGGTAAGGATAATGTCTGAACTAACTTCTTTTGTATGCATAAATTAGGCTTGTTAATATGGATCCCCACAGCCTCAGCAATATTTAGTAGTCGAACTCTTAAGGCGAAATTGAGATTTGTTGGTATGCGGTAAATGACGCCGAAAGCCTGGTTAACATCAATCTTGTGTTCTGTATCCACCAGATGAGATAGAATAGCGCTACGAATAGATTTTGTTTGTCCTTTACTTAACCACACAAGATGGTGTCCAGAAATCCGACAATAAACATGCCTCATTGTACGGCCTATGTAACTGGCTCCACAGGAGCAGTTAAATTGGTAGATACACATGGAAGAGGCGAAATTAGGCAGTTTGTCTTTTACTCCCGAACGCAACAGAGGAGTGGTTTTGAAGACAGCGTAATTCGGCAGCAGGGAATGCTCTTCTTTACCGCATTTCTAAGGCGCTGTGTTAGTATCTCGCTGATGCTGTCCCCAAGGAACTGCATTTGTAAGAATAAGACCTTTTTAGGAACTGTTGGTACCTTGGGCTGCTTTGATTTTAAACTCATATTCTTATCAATAAACTTTTCTGGATAACCATTTTCACTGAGCAACCGTTTAATTATTTTAAGTTCCTCATCAAAAAATTCATCCGAGCAGATTGCTCTTGCTCTGTGAACCAAGCACTTTATCAGATGGCGTTTGTATTTCAAGGTCACGAAGCTGAAAAATGAGTATACTGACCCGTTGATGTAGGTTTTCTACATACACTTCTTATTGTGCCATCCTCTTTTCTGGTCATAAGGATGTCTAGAAATGAAATACTAGAGTCTTTTTATTTCTCAATAGTAAAATTTACTGCAGGATGAACCTCGTTAAAGTTATCGAGGATGTTCTTTGCTTCCAGTTACATTGGCCGTACAATTAGGCGTGTTTCTCGTCGAATGACCAATGAATGATTATTTTCGCTATATGATTGATGTTATCATGTATGTATATAATAGTGATGAAGTCTTAAAATGCCATATTTCATTATATTTAATACACTGAGTTATGTACTGCTTTAAGAAGGATATTGAACAGTTGTACAGTTATTAGTTATTGATTTCTTTCAGTTACTACTCTGGTGTGAAATGTTGGCAGTTAGATGGGCATACTGTCTCTTTATCTCTAAGGTATCTCTGTGATGCCTGTCTTTGTTTGTCTAAACTGTGTTGGAAACTTGTGACTTAATGATCTTACTTCGTGAGTACAATGGAATTCATTAGATGTTCATTGTTGACTTATTTGATGTGCTAATATGAAGTGTGACATCTTGGACTGGTATGCATTTAATATCAAGGCTTCTGTTTATTTCTGTCTGTTTGCATGTCAGTTATCTTCAAGTCTAACCTGTTTGTCAGATTGACAGTAATTGATGGTGAGACTAAAAGTTGACAGTCTATATTAGTTTCAAAAGGTTTTCTTATTTTATTTTTTTGTTTAGGTAGAATTTGTGATTTGTTACATTTGATTAGTATATAAGACATAGGTCTTATATTAATAGCTCACTAATTCAATTTTAGCGTGTTAAAAGTTCTACTGAATTCTTTATTCCCGGTATTAATCACGTGATTCACTGAATTATTCACAAAGTTCTTAAGCGTTTTGTTCATGGGTCGCATAGTTCGAACCCCTTTCCACCTATCGAACTTTGAATAACCAAGTGGTAGTATCGCAACGACAGAAGACAAGACTTACTTACTTTACTTTACTTCGGCTATCTCCTACGGGAGGATGAGCCGGCTTCATGAACATCTCGAATCATCGCTTCCCAGGCGCGGTGATCTGATGCAAGAGAGTTCATGAAGTTTCATGGGAATTTGGTACGAGTGATGTCCCCAGAATCGCTCGGCCTTTTGTTTGAGAGTGCAGCTCTAGCCTTTACACAACCAAGTGTGACCTACAAGGCAGTAGGAGTGGAGTAGGGAGTCCACTATCCATTGGCAGCCGGTGACCGGAATTCGGTTCATACGCCTTATTGAATGGGGCCAGACATCCAGGACATCCAACAAGCTCTTTGTCCATACGTCTGCCGGTGAGTTCCAGTGAGCTTCATACGCCAGTCGTTGGAGGTTTGGAATCAGGGTTTAGCCATCTCCCCTAGACTGTCATCCAATGGGCAATCAACCCGGTGAAGAGCGCCGGGCATCCGCTTTCGCCCTCTCACTTTGGTGAAAAACACCTCCGCCACGTGAAGGCAGTGAGTAGGACTTCCTCAGGAGAGGCTATGTAAGACGCCCGGTCATATGGGAGCATTTCAAGAGGTGTGCGGAGGGGTGGCCAACCCGCAGCGCAAGGCACCCACCCCCGACCATCCTGAGGCTTTGGAGGCCAGGCAACAGATCGTTTATTGAGAAAATCAACAGATATTTACAGATTTTTATGTACACTATTATTCGTTGTTATTATTATCATCAGAGAAACAGAGTCTTCTGATTGGTTGTTTTCTCGTTGGAAGTTATTTTGTCATCTCTTTGTGACCATTTCTTTGAAGGCCAGACCACATATCTGCGAATCAAATCCACTCACGCAAAATCTGCTATGATTGGATGTTGAGTTAGTCTTTGTTCTTGTTCTTTTCTCATGACCAAGATTTGGGACGTAAACATTGACGTAAATTGCTGTCTACCAATTTTGGCTGGCAGACAGCTCTCACCACAGTATCACTAGCCTTCACCCAATAGGTGTGCCTCATTCCCTACTGCAAGTGGTTGTTTTCTCAATAGTGTGTTAATTATGATAAACTAATTAACTTCTCCCTGTGTATGATGCAACCTTTGTATCCTCAAACGTTTTTTTTTTCATTTTTCACCCATACAAATCACTCACATTTTCATGCAGTTGGCAATGTCCCAAAACGTATATTGTGTGAGAGGTTAGTAATACTAGGCGGAGAGTGGGATTCGAAGCCCTCATCCTACTGGTTAAAAGTTGAGTGCCTAATCTAATAAACTACACCTCCACTGTTTTTCTAAATGGTTCACTGTGATATACACTGAATTATGCAATGATAACCTAGTTCATCCAGACACTTAATTAGTTTCACCGTCTTTCTAATTTAGTACACAAATCTATTCACCGTAATAGAAATAATTAATTTCTTTAGCACGTTGAAGCGAAGAGAATTGTCAAAAGAAAATACCTGAGATCACTAATATTATTTGTTGAAAACTACTTAATTCGCAAAAAATACTCATCTATATGAGGAAATCATACACAATTAGTTCAGCAAAAAGACTCTTTTTGATGAATTCATTCACTTAGCTGTACAATCGCAAATTTATATGGTTATTTTTGTTTATGTATGTACATTCGACTTGTCAAAATATAACATGAGTATAAATTAGTTTAAAATATTGTTTACACCATCAAAATATTTCAAATCAGTGAACACTAATCAGATTGTAACTAGGGTGATGAAGATTACGTAATATGAAGGAATGTTAGGAAAAAATAGGTGTTAATAAAAAAGCAGAGAGAAAAGTCCCAAAACATATTATGTATCAGGCGCATAGAGTGTACAAAAGACTAGTTAAGGAAATGATATTAATGACTGTCGTGCGAAAAGTGCAAATAAGTATTAATAGCAAAACATTGTTAATAATCGAGTTGTAAATTACAGCCAAATTAAAAGGTGGAGATAGAAAAGTTTCTTCTGTTTTAGAAGGTTTCTTTTGGATTTGGATATATTTTTGAGTGAGTGAATTTTCCTTAGACATTAAGTGACTAGTGTTCAAATGAAGCACTTAATATTGACCCAATGTTACCTTTCTGTAAACATACTGGATAATATCCCTTGACTCTTCTAGAAAGAACACGCATTGAATGATCTATAAATCTTGCTCCACATGATCAAGTGAATTGGTAAATACTCATAAAAGTGGTCAAATGCGATTGTTTATTTTTCGAGTTATAGAGGAGAACACTGGGCGACAGGAGAATTCCAATCTTAATGTAGATGCAAAGAATATTGTTTTCAGAGCGTTTGATATTCTCTTCTTTAGAATGTCCACTAAAAGGTCGCCAACCAGTTGTACTCGCTAGTCAAATAAAGGTGGTTTCAATAGAAAGTAGCTATTTCGCTAAGTCGGAGGTGTTAGGCTTTGTAAGCGTTAGTATAGAACGATACAACCTACTATATTAGGATTTTGATCAAGATTTGACCGGATAGTTGCAAAATAATTGAGCGCTGAGTGGGAAGTAGACATTTATAAAAATATATATTTATAAAATCTCAGCGAAATTGAAATGATTAATTCCAACGTTTCGTTCGGCAATCTGGTCCGAACTTCTTCAGGGAAATTAATCGAAATTAACATAACAGAGGTTTATATATAAAAGTACATCTCTTGTTTTAAATTATTTGTCTTGTCATATGAATCAAGAAACAGCTATCAATAGGTACAATAAATAAATCATAACAAAGTTTTTATGAACTGTGGTCAAAATTTGTCGTGAATTCGCAGAAGTTTGAATTCATGGGCTAGCCATTGGACCAAGTCCCAGTGGCTTAATGGTCTACGAGGTCGCCTTGTAACCAGAAGGTCCTTGGTTCGAACCCCGGTGGGTGCGTACTGCTGAAGATTCCCAAAACGAGAACAAAACAGCTGTCCAGTACTCCCAGGTTTTCCAAT